TGCACAAACAATGAATTTATGCTGGCACCGTTCTATGTTTCATTTTTCTCACATTGTATGTTTCTAAACTTGGTTAGGGAGCTCTTGAGTGGGGAGAAGGAAGGGCTACTACAACTGCCATCTGACAAGGCTCTTCTATCTGACCCTATATTCCGCCCATATGTTGACAAATATGCTGCTGTATGTACCAAAAATACCATCTGTTGTTGTGCTTCAGTCGTTTGCCAAATACATGAAAAATTGCTGGTTTCCTGCCTGCTAATGCTGTGTCCTTTCCTCTTTACTCTTTTAGGATGAAGATGCTTTCTTTGCCGATTATTCTGAAGCTCATCTGAAGCTCTCCGAACTGGGGTAACTACAATTTTCAATCCTCCTTTTCAATGGTCACGTTAGCTGGAAGAATTACCTGAATCTTTGGACTGCTGCTCATTTGGTAATCTCTGGTATTTTTTGACAGATTTGCCGATGCCTGAGATTCAAGATGAATCCACAAGGTGCCTGGCTTCGGGGCCATGATGTTTTCGGATGTTGTAGGATTTAGTTTCAGCAGTTGTACTGGTTTTTAATGAAACTTGGGTTTTGTCTATGTTGGTTGCTCATGAGGGGTGGAAGAGATGTCTCGGTTCTTTCGCTTTGAACTCATCCTCTCGGAAAATAATATTGAAGTTGTGGACTACCCCCCTGCTAATCTTCAATTTACTTTCATATAAAAAGAGTAATAAAACGATATTTCTCAGCTGTATTATAGTTTTGATCTCTTTATGTATAAAAATCAAGAAAAAACACAGCTTTATATTTTTAATTGAAAAATATTTAAAAACCAAGTATCATAGCAGATTGGTTAAAATTTTTATGAAATGAATTATAATAAATGAAAAGTATAGTAAGGTTTGAAATGTATTTGTGTTGAGCTAAATGATATTCCCACCAGCAAAAACATAAAATTTCCACAGTACTTCTCCTGGTTTAATCTGTCAATGACTTGGTTAGGTTTGCTGTTCCCAGCCGGCCGCCATTTTCCCCTCAGATTCAGGTGCAAGCGCGTGTTTGTGATGAAATCTTTTATTTAATTATATAGAAATCAAAATCTCTTATTTAATTATATGAACATTAAAATGGATATTTATTCAAATATAACAATTTAAAGTTTTGTATGAAAAATATAGTTGGCCTTATAAATTCTCCTCTTTAATTATTGTTTTTTTAATTAAAAATGTATCTCTCTTCAGCTAGGTTGATTATGGCATAGAAGTTGTAAGCTATTAAAATCAATATCCATAAAAATTCATAAATTTGAAATTAAAAATATAAAAAAATATTTCAAAACATCTTTCATTTATCAATGCTCTCTCTCTCTAATCGGATGTTTTGTTCTACAAACAAAATCTTGCATAACCAAACAAATAAAATAAAACAAAATACTATAGCTAGCTTAATTTTTTACCCTGTTTTTATTTTCTTGAAAATTACAGTTTATATATTTGATCAAAGTTTTTTAAATAGAACAAAATGATTAAACAACCATAAATATATCAAAATACCTCACGGATCAATTAATAAAATTTCACTTTTTAGACATGGTTTCTCTCTTCAAGTCCTAGTTTTTGAACTCATTCAAACTTGCAAGTCCTGATTCCTGCTTCATGAATTAATTTAAATTAATTAATTTATTTTTATTTAATAAAAAATATAAAATCATCTTGGGTTTGTTTCTAGGCTAATCAGGTTACAAATAATCTTAGATTTTTTATCGAATCAATTTAAGGTTTTTATCGAGTCAATTTTTTATCTATTTTTGTTGAAATCTGACTTGGTCCAGACTAATGAAGATTAATTCATTAGATTGGTTTTTAAAACAGTACTTCAAATATTATTTTTTTATTAATGATATGAATCCAAATCAAAATTGTGTTTTTAACCAATTCTTCTCTTCGAGTGAAGATTAGACATGATTTTTCCTTTTTCATGCCATTAATTTTTTTTTTAAAAAAAAATACAAGTAATTTATTTTCAAAAACTAAAAAAAATAAAAAACCACCCAATTTGAAGCTTTGAGAGAACATTTATTTTTTAACTTTGTTCAATTATTTTAACCAATCAACATTGCTAATCTCTCGTGTTAATGAGAAAGTGGTATATGATTTATGTTTTCAATCCATCATTGCTGCTGTGGTTTTGATTTGGAAGAAACGAGGGCATATCAGTGGTAATAGTTGCTGCAGGAGGAAAACATTGTGTGGGGGTGGCTGTGAAGGAGGAGACGAGGGCTAATTATACCAAAACAATATCATGGCTTGTTATTGAATATTCTATTTGGTATTATGGTTGAATTATTTTTGAAATTTTTGCAGTTTTAAATTTATTTTTTTTAGTTTTAAATTTTTTTGATATGTTGATATCAACATAAATTTTAAAAAATAAAAAAAATTATTTTAATATATTTTTAACAAAAAAAACACTTTAAAAAACAATCTTTAAATTAACCCTAACATTGTGGAAACTTACAAGCTCTGGCTAGCTGGTTTATTTCGTCCATTTGTTAGCAATGACATTCATTATAAACCAATCTTATAGCCTGTTGGTGTTGGAAAGATTCTAGTTACAATAGTTGAGTTGCTCATGGCAGTAAAGTCTTATGCAGCTCAGGTGGCTAATGAGTTCTCCTCTCTTCTTGTTCATTTCATGTTTTCAATGCCAAAGAACGAAGAACTGGAGAAATTAATGCAATGATGCCAATTAATTAATGATCATGTAAGTTTGCAGGAAGCCGAGCTCACAGTTATGCGAGGAAGGAATGAAAAAGATAGAATCAAAGTCAAATGAATTTAAGGTGTTATACTTTTTTTTGCCAAAAGAGTTAAGCGTGAGCATGATGAATTGCAAAATTCAGGATATTGTAAAGTAAGAATATAAAATGTTATGAATTTATAAAAAGAAATTTATAAAAAAAATTAAACTATATGCATATTTTATTTTATTATCTCAAATTTTAAAAATAAATATTTCTTATGCATATAGAAAAATTATACATACCAATATATATATATATATATATATATATTATCATTTACCTCAATAATCTTATTTCTAACAACAAATCATATTTTAATAGCCTAAAATTAAATCAAATAAAAAAACTTTTCGAGTTTTAATTTACTTTTTTCATCATTATTGAAGGTGCAAATCGCATTCATTAAGCTCCTATCTTCGAGATGAATACATGAAAATCAAAGTTATAGGTGATAAAGACTCGGCCACTTGAGAGTTTTCTCCTTAAAGCTTTTCAATAACTATTTTTTTCTCATTCAAGAGTTGTGCACTGGAATATAAAATAAATAAATTTGGGTACCTATAAGAAACAAATGAGGGATCAAATGTAAAAAAATTAAAATCAAGGGACAAAAGTCTAAATTTACATGCCACTAGAATAATAATCATTGGGAAGAGGCTGTCATTTTATCAATGTCAATTTTGATTTTGTTTTTTTAACGTTGATGTCCACAACAATCAATATTCCTCCCATGTAAAATTAACACGCCACGCAACACCGAAACAATCCTTGATATCTTGGGCACGTGCTCACATGGGATAGGAGGAGAATGAAAAAAAATCAAGGGCGACAAAAAAAGAACTTTCAAGGACCAAGTTGAAAGAATCCAAAGGTGGATGACCAACTAAAACAAAATAAAAAAATTGATGAACTAAGAATGAATTTTTTAAAATGAATAATGATTATAAATAATTTTTTGTGAGAGGATAAACAAAAATAATATAGAAAAAACTGATATGTTTTAGTTTTATTGTTCGACCCGCAATGCAACACCAAAATAATCCCTAGCCCTTCGTGCATATGCTCATATGAGATACGAGGAAAATAAAAAATAATAAAAAAAGAAATTTGAAGGATCTAAAGGAGGATGACCAAACTGAAACAAAATTAAAGTTTGAGGTACTAAGAACAATTTTTTAATAGTGAATAGGGCTTATGAATAGTGTTTGTAATTTGATAAATAGAAATACTAAAAAAAAAAAAAACTGACATGTTTTAGTTTCTTTGTAAATTAATTAATTAAAAATAATAATAATTTTGTTTTTGTTTTTGTATTAATAGTAATAATAAATTTAAGAATTTAGGCAAGACCTCACTCACCCGGTTAAAAGAAATTTCTCACATCTTTACCCGTGGGGTAAATTTTAATCTGCTTTCAAGGTTTTAAGGGGTAAATTTCAACCTCATTAAAATCCAAACAAAGCCTTCCATTACATACAATCCAAAAATCAGAACAGCCATCAAAGCAAAAAATTAAATACATCTGTTGTATTTTAAAGAATAAGCTCTTATTATTTAATTGCCTAAAATTTCTTTAAAAGGCTCCATTATTGTTTTATTGTAATTCTAAGACAATGACAGTGATGGTGTTCTTCCAGTAAATTGTATGTGCTTTACAATATGATTCAGTCAACTAGTAATTTCAAAAGATGCACACACAGCCATCTTACAAATGGTGATGAGCTAAAGAGAAAGGAACACCGCGCTCTTCCCCTGGCTAGAAGAAACAAGTTTTTATTTAATAATATAGCAAAACCATAATTTTTACATCCCTGATGTGATGATAGAAAGGAAATCCAACAAAGCTTCAAGTTTTACATGATAACACCAAAAACATAATTTTTACATAGAAAGGAAACCCAACCAATCAAGCTTCACTTGATTAAAGATGGATTCTGCTAGGCTGAGACTTGGTCATCCTTGCTTCCCCGTAGGGTTCATCGTTATCGATCCGGCGATTATTCCTGAAGGCTGCACAGCCAACCACATAGGCAATCACTAGGATGATTAATATGACGATGTTAATGACCGAGACCTTCCTCCAACTCTTCCTCAGGTTGGCTAGCAAACCAGCTTTGCAAGAATTGCAGGAATAGCACAGTTGCTCTTGATCGGAGTTCCAGGTGTTACAGTCAGTGTTGTAAACAACCCCTCCAGATGATAACCAGACAGTCTCGTTCACATAAGTGTAGCCGCATTCTGTAGGGGGCTTGCAACAACCAGACTACAGCACAAGCAAAAGCAAATCTGTTGTTACGTAAAATGTAATGATAATTACACACCGAATGCCACCAATATATACAATAAATACAAGAGGAGAATATACTATACACAGTGGGTAGTCTACTATATTTGGAAGATTGCTGATTTTTTTATTTTTTTTTGATGTCTGCAGAGATGGAAAATTGGATGACAGTTCTACAACTTTGCGTCATGCTAAAACCTGACATTGTTGATGATGGCGTGACCCAAGTTCAAATAATGTTTGATTAGCTCATTAATTTGAAGCAATGCTGAAAAAAGCGTTCCATACATTAAGTATATTTCTATTTTCCTTGAATTTCTTTACTTTACATGTTTATTTTTCTATTTCTAAAGCCCTAACACTTCATATTCTTCGACCTCCCCCAAAGAATGGAAGCCATTTTGACTCTATGATTCGAAGGATCCATTTGGTGCAGAGGTTAATTTTCGAATTCAAGCTGTTGCTAGTCAACATGTGTAGCTTTTAGAGCTGTTTGTCGTTAAGTACTTTTAAATGTATTAAAATAATATATATTTTTTTTATTTTTTAAAATAAAAAAATTATGAATTTGATTATAAATTTTAATTTTTTTCAAAAACTCTCAAAATGCTAATGGAAATAATGGTTTGCTTATAAATTTTTATTCACTGTTTTTTTTTTGTTTGTTTTGTTGAATTTTCACTTGTTATATATGTTTTGGTGTTGAGTTTTATTTCTTTGACTGATCTCGTGGTGGATAGGATTAGATAATGGTGTTTTTAGGACAAAAATTATAAGATTGGGCCAAACTCAGCAACTCAATAATAGAGAGCTGATATGGACATTCTAAATAATAGAGAGCTGATATGGACAATCTAAAGGTAACCCCATAAAAATCTGAGGATAAAACAGAGAAGAAATGATTAAAAAAATTTATATGAGTTCACTTCTCATCTAATCCAGGTTTAAAATTAAAATTAAATTATGTTGTAAAAGTTTTCATGATGCAACCTAATTAACTTGGTCAATTCAAAAGCAATTTAGTTGACTAGCAAAAAAAATCTAACCACTAAATTATAAAAAAAAATGATAAAATTGATAAGAAAGAACCTCTCAACTCGATCCTATTACCTAGCTTGGATTTGATATTAAACAGTGTGGAAGTTACCCAATATAATTGAAAAAATCATAGATGAAATTGAATTTAAAAAAAAGACTAATTTAAAAAAAAAATCACTTTTAATATGAACCAAGTATTTTAGTATAGTATATAAACAATGAAGCTGTATTAAATTTTTCAAATCTTTAATATAATATAGTAGGGCAATCAGATAAGATTCCAGCTTTCTGCATCCCCTTTTTATCTCTTTCATCCTTTTATTCTCTATCCGTCACTTTTCATATTGAAACAAGCTGCAACTTGAAGTATGCAAAGAGAAGAAAAGAATATTCATATAAACAAATTAATAAATAAATACACTAAGATTCTACTCTTGATACCGTACTCAGACTGACAAAAGGCACTATTCTTCCGGCAGTGTTTTTTCTTTTATCAGGCTAATATATTTGGTTCATCTTATAAAATATGCAAGATATATAGATTGTGAGTATAAAGGATGATTTTTTTTAGGTTTAATGGGATGTGTTGACGATGACTGTTCAGGAGGAGGGGTGGGACGACAAAGGTGAACATGAGAAAGGTGGGTAGAGCTGCGATTTCTGAACAACATTTTTAAGTTTATGATTTCAATTTCTTGAATTAGAATTCTTTAAAAATTGAGCTTGTCCATAATCAAATCCTAGTGTTCCATACAGGCTTTTACAGATGCCCGTTTTAAGTATCAAAGATATATATTTGTTAAGATAAAAGTTAATTTGAGTAAAATTATATTAATTTATATTCATGCCACATATAATTGAAAAGAAAACTGTTTAAATAATTTTTTTACAATAATATAATGCTAAGTGAAAATGGTTTTAGTAATTATTATTTTTAAGAGTTATATATCTATCTTAGCTATTAATTATTAAATTATGAAAGATAATTCAAAATATATCCCTAACTTTTATTCAAGATGAGTTAAAAATCATTTACATGGTTGCTTTTTAATTTATGTCCCTAACTAATTTAATTATAATTGTCAAAATTTATACAAAATTATTTGAAAATCAAACACTTTTATATTTAATAAACATCCATATTTATTCATTTATAAATATTCTAAACAATCTATAAAAAATAATATAAATTAGCTCAACAAGACATAAAGATCCCATCGCTTATGCGGAATTCAAATCTAATATAATTAATTTAATTATAATTGTTAAAGTACAGCATGCAGATGGGGATGTGAGAGGGAGAGAAGAAGGCAGGCAGGCAGGCAGGGATGAGAGACGAAGCATGTAATGATGGCTTGTAATGATGGCTTTTCTTACTAAAAATGAAAAGGTCCCATCGCATCTTTTTCCTGTCAATGGATGAATAAAGATAAGCTACTAAACTTTCTTTCTTTGGACGGTAGAAGGATAAAGCTAAGCTCCTTTCTACGAAAGAAAGGTGGGGCTGTGAACGGCCGACAAACAATTACGTGGCAAATAAGAATCAGCGATTCCCGGTGGCTCTCACATGGCCTCAAGTAGATGTCCCTTCTCCCTAGCAATAATTTGGGGGATTTTTTTTTTAAAAAAAATAGCGCAATTAGTTGAAGATTCCAGCACAATACAATTTAATTTTTTTTTGACAAAATATTATATTTTTATCTTGTCCATTTTGTTGTGTGTTTGTGTTGGAATGAAATTTAAAAATACATTTTCGTTTAAAAAATATTAAATTTATATATTTTTAATGTTTTTTTATGATTTTAATAAAATATTATTAAAACATAAGATTAAAATTAAAAAAATATTATTTTAATAAATTTTCAAATAAAAAAATATTCATAAAAACAACTGTAAACCACAATAAAATACTACTCAAAGTCTCGATCAAGAAGCCTTTAAATTATCGGGGAGAGAGCGGGAATGGTGGGGGAAGAAAATTATTATTGTTTATTTACGCGGAATTCAAATCTAGGATCTGAACACCACCTTTACCCCGTACGATAGGCTTCCTTGATGCTGCATGCAAATTTCAAATTAATCATTTTTTTTGGAAAACGAGTTAGATAATCCTTCAAATTTCTAAAAGTAATTCACTGATATTAATCAAATTTAATTTAATATTAAAAAATTCTTCTATCAATTAACCAGAGAAACTAGTTTAATTTGTTTTATAATTGATTATTATTGTTATATTTGAGATTTTCGACCATTAATTAATTGGTAGTTGAGGCCACTGACTCTAAGATCTTGAGTCGTTCTACCCCGACCTATCTCTAATCGCAAAACAAGTTCAGTATTCTGCTCAAATCGTTTGCTAAAACCCAAAACTTTTCAAGACTTGGAACGCTATAAGAAATTATAGATTTGATATTTCTTGAACTCAAAATATTATGGAAAACAGAAGAGGCACATACCTCAACAGAGCTGAGCTTCCTGCTATAGAACATATCTGCAGTCTCAGGGACGCCATTAATAGTTCTCCCCATCTTACCACAGACCTTAGAATCTCGTATACAAGAGCTAATCTTGAGCCAGTAGCTATCACTAGCTACTCGATCCTTCAACCACCCTGAATAGTCCTGCAGATAATAGTCAGAATACGCACGATTCAAGAGTGGGCGGCCCGACCCTTTATCGGTGACAACATAGGCAAAGATGATGAACCCTAAAAGTGCGGCGATGATGAAGAACATAACAAATAGGTAAACCCACATCAAGAAAGTGTTTCGGTAACACGCGCCAGCGAAACCGGCTAAAGAAACGACCATGATTGAGATCCCAATTATTATCAATGGCCACTGTAAGAATTTCAGACAATCTGTGTTGTTGGCTCTGCTGCTTAGCCATATACCACCTCCTAGGATGGGTATTGATAGCAAAAAAGTCAGGAAGTTGAGTACCCCTATCAAGTGATTGCTAGATCTCATGGTTGATCTTTCTCTGTTTCTCTCTTCCTTTCTGCAACAAGAGCGTCAGATCTCTCTCTGCTCCGTCTCTCTTTCTTTCTTTACTGTTAATTTTTGGGATGGCCAGTTACAAGTGAAGAAGAGAATTGATAGCAACAAAGGCGAAGATATAACGATTGCCTGTAGGTGTGATATTTTACGCTCATAAATATCCTCGCGCCCGTACTGGGCTTATGTCAAGTTGGATTCTATTTTTCAAGGTGCGGGCCCGAGTTTCTAAGCTCCGACCCGGCCTGTGACGGGTTATGGAGATTTGCTACGCTGACCAATACGTCGTTTTACTCCGCACCTAGGAGTTCTGAAGCATAGCTATAAAATTCAGTTCCACCTGGCACACGGTCTAGACTGAATTTCAAAAAACAAATATCAACATGATGGGTACTCATGATCATATCGTAGTTATATTTTTAAAAAAATATAAAATAATATCCTTTTATTAAAAAAAATTAATGTTATTTGATTAAAAATTAATCAATATCTAAATTGCAATTGCAATATATTAAAATGTTAATACCTAATAATTATATTAGAATTAATTCAAGTTAACTCATCCATCATATAACTCAACCTTAAAGTGGATCATGAGTTATATCAAGTTTAATAAAAAATTTTAAAAGAAAAGGTTAATAAAGATTAGGAAATCGATTAAAACAGTACAAGTTAGTGTTGTGATTGATGAAAATTATGACAAGTTATTTAAATAGAATGAGTATACGTACTGGGAGGAAGAGCAAACAATATTGGTGAGGTGCAAATCAAATGACACATTGACACCGACCTTTAATCACATGGTCAATAATCCTTAATAAAAGAGAAACAATTTTAAAAACTAAAAATCAAGTTTAATAGAACTTTAAACTAGAAGTAACCTTATTCCTAATAACTAAAGATATAACAAAAAATTTAAACCCAGAAATAATCTTCATTGTGCGAATGACGTCACAAAACTACTTAATCTTTGATAAGTTAGTGTATGATCTTTGTCCTTGCCAAAAAAAGGTTGTTTTGCCACAAATAAACAAAAATAAACTCATGTTTATTCTTCAACTAGCTACTCAAATTTGAAGCTCAAAAAAACATAATATAGTATCCTCTAACTAACTCTAATGGAAATCTTTTGATTTGCAAGCTAATAAGCCTAAATTAGTTATGAACTAACATAAGTCTAATAATAAAATAAACTTATAAACAATGTTTAATGTTATTTTTCATTCTTTTTTCCTTCCTTCCTTTTCTTTTACTCTTTTTTTTTTCAAAGCTTATTAGACCTTTTATGTTAGGCTTTTGGACCTTCCAATGGGGTTTATTAACAAAGTATTTCCTCATGTTTTTCCTTTCTATTGTTTTTCAGCTCTAATTTCAAAGGGTATTTATGGGAGTTTTTTAGATTTATTTGGTGGATTCCCTTGAAGATTAATTAAAACTTAACCCTTTGATTAAAGTGAAAGGGTTATGGACAAAAGTTAACGACTGGAAGCTCTTCTACTAAGCTGATTTTGCAATAGTGATTTTGATTTTAGAGGCACTTGGTGGTTCTGTTATACTTGGAGGAAAATGAGTTATTTCTAATATTGAGAAAGAGGTTTTAAAGTCATTGATAAGAACCCTTTGAGAAGCTTTAAATACGAATGCATGGAAAAAATAGGTGTCATAGTGAAGGCTGACTAAATTGACAATTTTTAAAGCTTCATTGGAGAAACTCCAGTGTAAACATCATTGAAAACCACTTTAAGTTAGTAGAGGAGGTGCATACCTTCCATTTAGATTCAACCTTGCTTAATTTAAAGATTTATAGCCTTATCTTCATTTATCCAAATGTGTCAACTTGATCAGTTCAGAATTTGAAAATACAAGGAATATTGATTGAGGACAAGATTTTGGAACTTTTATGGAGGAATTAGGGTGTAAATGTTCAATTTCATAGCATAGAGTTATAGAGGGGTTATTCTTCTTCCATATGCAAAAAACCTTGTGTCATTTGAAGGTTTAGAACTCCACAACATGCTCTTAGAAAATATCAACCTGATCATCGTTTTCTGCTAGAAGAAAAAGAAGAAAGCTAATGGATGACATGTTGTTCATGTCTTTTTATTAAAACCAAACAACACATCATCTACTAAAAACTTGAAAAATTAAGGCTCTTAATTGCTTTTTGTTAAAAATTAATTTAGGTTTTTTTTAATCATGACACATGCACCCTTAATTGATTTAAAATCCTTTCAATCCTTACAATGACACCCCTAAAATTTTTGATTTAAATCCTTTTATTTGAACACCTTTTACAAACGAGTCCTTGATTTTTAACTTGTTTAATTTTAGCCTAATTGACCACTAAAATTTCAATTCCTTCCAATTTGGCATCTGATTTGGTCAATTTCAACTTCTATAATCATCCACTTATTTTAGCTTTGTCCTTAGTTTTAATTTTTTTCAATCAAGTTTTTAATTTCCCATCAAAATCAATATTCTTACAATTTATCCCCTGATTTGTCCAATTTAAACCTCCCGAAAATCAATTAAGTCTCCAAACTTTTATTTCATCCAATTAACACCCAAATTAACTCCAAAAACTGATTTTCCCTGCAATTAAGTCCTCGATAAAATTAATCAAGTCTTTTAAAATTCTCATTGAGTCTTTATATGACTAATTTGTATTTCTTTACCTCAAATATAAATATTTTCACTAATAAAGCCCTTTGTCAATCAACATTGAGTGTCAATTTTATACATTTTGGTCCTCTAAATTTTCTACTTGTCATCTTGGTCCTCTACCACCAACTTGGAAAATTTTATAGGTTTTTTTCTCTCTCTCTCTTTTTTCTTGTATATTTGAATTCTATTTTTTCAATTTTTTAGGATAAAAAATGGGTAATCGCTGATGATTTTCTTTGTGGTGTCAAAAGTGGATAATAATAAATGTCTTCTCTTTACAATATTTATGAAGCAAAATCTCATTAAAGTTTTTTCATAATCAGCTTTTAAAGAAAAAGTCTCTATCTGACTTGTTGGGTT